ATTTATAAGGACTAGTAATCAACTTGAATACCGTTTTGGATACTTATTCAATAAAAAGGGAAGGTTTCATAAACTTGTTGATACATCACTACAAAAGTTTGATTTTGACGGATTAATAAGTAATCCAAATATTAGTTTTAATGCAAAGTTTGGTGAAAATGAATACATATTTAAAATCACAAAATCTAAGGAGAGTTTGGCACGAAATCTTTTGATCAATGATATCGAGGGTAAGACATTGTGAGACATTTGTAATAATTTTAATTAAGTTTTTATTTATTTTTAATTAAAATCCTAGGAATGTGTTATATATTAGAGGAAAATGACACTGAATTTCAGAAAACTATTGAAACACATAATCCGCACAAAAATGATTTGTCGCTAGTTTTGAGTTTTAGTGAAAAAAATGCCAAAAGAGTTGATTTAAGTGGAGGTAAAGGAAGCTCTTTAGCGATACTCAAGAGTTTGAGTGAAGAGTTGGTTAAAGAAGACTATGAAAACAAGTTCATTGTTCCCAATGGTGTTAATGTCACCACAAATGCTTACCAAAGAGTACTTCAAGAGTACAAAGATTTGTCGCAAGAAATCCAAGAACTGGAAGAATCGACACAACTGTCCACAAAAGAACTGAAGACAAAGTGCGAGAATTTAATGAATTCAATAGCGAGTCATAAGTTACCGGAAGTTATAAAACAAGAAATTAAAGCAAAATTAAGCAAAAATTTTGATGATTTCGAGACGAAGTTGTTTGCCGTCAGATCTTCGGGCGCTTCTGAGGACTCGGAGGAGATGTCAGCCGCCGGACAGATGACCACATACTTAGGCGTCAGAGGTCTTGAGGAGATCTACTCATCGGTGATGAAGTGCTGGTCCTCACAGTTCTCGCACATCGCCTACGAGTATAAGAGAGGTTACGGACAGCCTATCAATAGTCCGATGGCTGTCGTCATACAAGAGATGATTGGCTGCGAATCGGCGGGAGTTATGTTCACTTGTGATCCCATCACCGGTGATGAGAGG